TTCATACATTAGAGCATATAGTGGAAACATACCGATACTGTACCACCACCAGTTAATGTACAGATACTGAGGCCCAGTGGTCTCCTGTGCAGTATATTCTTCTACTGTCTGCAAAAGCCTGCTTATTTGTGATAATGCACAGATAACAGCAATCAATGCCACATACCTTGATAGAAACAAGTGTGTGTGTGGACTTAGAGTTAGGTTTTTTAAACCTGTCATATACATGTGTGTACTTCAATCAGACACCCAAGAAGGTTCTCTTACCTTGGATATTTCTCTGTCTTCAGGCTCTGGAATTCCAGCAGACTTTATACAGCCAGGATATCCATTATTAGCACTCGTTTTCACAGTGTCGCATTGCATTACCAGCACTCTTTTTGCATTATCAGCACTACTTTGCCCAATGCATACTTGTATTATCAGCACTCTTTTGCACCAAACATACTTATAAACTTACCTAAATGCTCACCACACAAATCTCCTAAATATGACCTATTTGTTAGAAGGAAGCCTAAAATAAGCAGCTGGGAGGGACTGAAAGAACAGAGACCCAGGTGCCTATACTAGTTTTAATCTAAATTACTAATGCACTTACCTGAACCGTTGCAGGCCTGTGTTTCAGCGGCAAAATGGGGATTTAAACAACTGACAGCCTAAATGGTTTAAACTATAGGCTTCCATCTGTACCCCATATGCCGTTCATCATCACCATACAAGGTGGAATACATAGAATAGATATATCCCGGTAGTCACAACTCTGTTGGGCCTCATGTATGCAGTGTACCGCTGTCATCCCCTCAGGGAGAGAGATAGGTTAGACTCCTGATTGCTGAAGGAGGTACCCAGGCTGGCAACTCTTACACATGTGCTGTTTGCTGGGTCTTCAGGGATAAGGGCTTAGACTCAACTGGGCCTCATGTATGCAGTGGACCGCTGTCATCACTTCCGAGAGAGATAGGATAGACCCCTGTTTGCTGAAGTAGGTACCCAGGCTGGAAACTCTTATCGGTATGCTGTTTGCTGGGTCTTCAGGGGTAAGAGGCTGAATCCTGGCCTGGCTTCATGTAGGCAGTATATCACATACATCCCCTAAGGGGTTACCCAAGCTGGCCTGTTGCTGGGTCTTCAGGGATAAGAGGCGGAACCCTGGCATGCAGTGGACCATTTTCATCCCTTTCAGGGAGAGGTTGGGTCCGACCCCCGGTCACTAAAGGGGGTACCCAGGCTAGCCACTTCATCTTAGTGCGTTTGCTGGGTCTTCAGGGCTTAGAGGCTGAACCCTGGCAGGGCCTAAAAAATATTGCCTGGTGAGCATAAAAGAAAAAATCTAGGCCTGCATAAGCAGACTCCTTCCAAACTGCTGTGAAGGACAGGAACAAAGACTGCCTGATGGGAAGGGGCAGGATCTATTTATACCAGTTTCAGAGTTCTATTTCCTGACCTTTCTGCTGTGAGGGGAGGAGCTAACCCATGAGTAAATGCTGCCATGAATAATGGTCAGGAAATAGAATTTTTGTTGTTGCACGTGTTGGAGTATTTAATTCTATATATTTTTTTTAGTTTTGTTAGACATAAACGTGTAGACTATATTTGTTGTGAGGTCAATAGACTTACAAGCAATAAATGTTTTACATTAAAAAAAAACGGTCAACTACGCCTGGGCGGCTGCAATGAGTATAGTACACATCAGCCACAATATGTATACTAAAAACCTAAGAAAATAAGGAGTTACTTGTACTTGCACACTCAGCCTTAGGCCTTTAGGCACCCTGTATGAAAAATGTTCACAGCGCCCCTCCCTGGTCACACCCGGTCATCCATGTATAATGTGTGCATAAAGCTGTGGTGTTTATATGGGGACTTTATTAAATTAATAATTATTAAAGAACTCAAAAATATATCCATTCCCCCGTTCCCTGTTGTTACCTTGCAGGGTAGGGCATGCTGACTTCTGGCATGTGCAGGGAATATGGTCTGCATCTCTGTCACCATGTGTTATATTTGTTATGTGTGTATTGACTGTGTGTGATATTTGTGATGGGTATTTAATTCAGATTTAAAAAAATTCATCCATGTGTGAATGCTGGTGTGTATATTTGCAGTGTCACGTGTACACAGTCCCATATTCAGACACACAGTCAGGTGCACACTGTCATAAACATATACTGTCAAATACAGCCACATGCACAAAGATCCAGGCACATAGTCACTAGCACACAGTCACACACCCAGTTACAGTCAGAAATTCACACAGAGACAGCCACACACAGTTACTGGCAGAAAGTCACACACACACAGCTACAGGCTGCCACACAAGGAGACAGTCACACATACTCACACACAAAGTTACAGGCAGCCACATACAGTTACAGACAGTTACACACACACACAGTTGCAGGTAGACAGTCACACACAGTTACAAGCAGGCAGTCACACACACAGCTACAGGCAGACAGTCACACACACACACACTTACAGGTAGACAGTCACACACACACACACACTTACAGGCAGACAGTCACCCTTCTCCCCACTCATACACACACAGTTTCAAGCAGACAATCTCACACACAGTTACAAGCAGACAGTCACACACACAGCTACAGGCTGCCACACACAGTTACAAGCAGACAATCACACATACAGGTACAGACAGTCACATACAGTCACAGGCAGACAGTTACACACACACCCAGTTGCAGGCAGGCAGACACACACTTGAAAGATGATTGGAAAAGTTGGAGTGTTCGTTGAATCTTTAAAGGTTTTAAAAAAAAATTTCCGTCCTGTTTCTGAACTTCTTTCATAATACTTTTAAAGTTCTTATCCTGGTCAACTTCTCACCTAATTTTTTTTTTTTTTTTTTAAATAGTAGCTTGATTATTAAAATCTTCAATCAGGGAACAATTTCTCCTGAAGCATGGGAATTGGCTTTTGTGGATACTGTTATCCGTAATGGCAACTATACTGATCTATAATGGTATTGGTATGTACCTTTTTAAAAAATGTGCTAGTGTTAATTTTGAAGAAAAATTAAGATTTGTAAATCTAAAACTATTATTTTTTTTTTTTGTATTCCGAGGTTAAGATGATCAGTCTATCATTAGAGTTTTGGTGTTTCAAAAACATATTCTAGTGATTTAACAGGAACTTCCCATATGAAAAATACATCAATATATTAGAAATAGGAGACCAGGTTTTGCCTCCAACCATGTTCACCCCAAATGGCAGTGGACTCCCAGTCATAAAAGATATTAGCATAGTTTTATGCAAACCTTATCCCCATCACGTTTCCTTGTTTTTATAAATAGAAAGAGACCAGAAACAAACAAAAATAAATGTTAGTTAAAATAATATTTATGACTTCAATAATATACTCTATTTGTGGCTCAGGGAAATATTTCTTTAGGAATGAAATATATAACTGGAATCTTTAGATATATATTGAGATATGATAATTCTTGTTTGTGGAGAAACTTATGAGTTTCACACGATAAGTCCAGTTAGTCAGAATTGTCTACTGCTAGACCAAGGAGCTTGAGCCCTCAATTAAATTATTTGCAGAATTTGCCATAAATAAAAAATAACTTATTGGACTTATCAAATAAAAACAATTTATTAAAATTTTTACAGTTTTTACAGTTCTATCAACAGTAATAAAAAGGCGAATCCAAATCTATTACCCACACTTTAAAAAAACCTAAAGGCATCACTTTTAGTGTAAACAGTCTGATCACTGATATAATGGAAGATTCAATGTCATTAGAAACATACTATAATGTTGTGTGATCACTGGAAGTCACCACTGTGCTTAGATTTCATATCTCGGGACCATTAATAGTATCCTGACATAAAGGGTCACAAGAGGACAACTAAGCTGCTACAAAGTATGAGTTTGATAATTGTAAAAATTCAGATATAAGTAAATATAGCCCTCTCAAGCGCCAGAAATACCTGGCCTCTGACATAATAAAAATATATAGAGTAGAAAAACTGTAGCTGATATATAGTACAGCTACTTACTTACTGATAGCTTTTATAAAAAAAAAATATAAAATACCAAAAATATATTGAGAGATATATATCTTAAGTAAAAGATCCATAAAAAAATTGAGAGATGGGGGGCGTAGCTTAGCAGCCCAGATGTGTTTAGCACAAGCTCCCACGTCAGGAGACTAAAATCGGGGGGCCTTACCTATCAATCCACACACACAGACTGCTGTTCCCACTGCTAAAAACCAGGAGAGGGTACTGCACCCGACGATACCTTTTTTGGAAGTCTAAGACCCTGGATTGCAACATTTGAGGCTTGCAGCCTACATGCGGATGAGTCACGGGGAAGTGACCGATACCGAGCTCATAAGCTGAAGCTGAGACCCCTGCAAATCACTCCCCCCCCCCACTGGACCGGCGGGGGTTATCCCGGTCCCAACTGGACTACCTAAATCGACTACCATGGCACACATCTACTAAGCAGAACCGGGGCCTAGCCACACTCAACAAGATGGCGACGGCGTCCTGACCTAGAGAGAACACAAACGTGCAGGCTGTACCGATCCCAGCAGATAGACAAACACTTCCAGCGATTCTGGGAATCTCTGATGAATCACCGCACATTCTTACCGCTACGACCACGGGTGGAAGATCGGAGAGGTTAGAGTCGGAGGGCGCGGGAGAACCCTCGGGCCAAGCTGCATCACAAATGCCTGTGTCTCCTACTACTGGCCTACCTTTGTCGAAGGCCCTTTTGGGCGCGACCCTGAGACATTCCCCACACAGACGGAGGGCCCACTGCCGCAGACCATCGGGACCCTCCGCCACTCCCCACTGGGAAGGGACTCGGCCATTCGAGGACAGCAGGTCTGGGTACTGAAGATGTTGGCTTTTATACCGGCCTGGGGTTGGAGGTGGACTTACCTCGCTCCCACCGAGCCGCCAACTCTGATCTAAGCACTTCTCCATATGACACTGGCCACGAGCAGAGGGACAACGCACATATGACCCGCAACTGGGCAAACTCCACTGGACTTACACACAAACGCAGAGCAATGCTCAACCAGGGGATTGGGTGAAAATACACTGTGCAAGGGACAGTCTACTTTCCAGATGCCGAACACCAGACACCCTAGCAGGCGACCTGAATACAAGATACACACAAGATGTTCTAGTAGTAACCTGGACTGTAGTGTATATGCATACCATACTATACCCTAATAGTCTTTTTATCTTTTACAATAAGGCCATGACCCACTATTCTAGCCACAAGACCTCACCTGACTAGATTTAGTTATGCAGTGCACTACAACAATAGCATAGCCCAGTGGATACCCTTAAGCCAGACGCCTATATAGACATGCTGGATATTACGCTGATACTTTGTTTTCCTTCTGGTCCTTATACTATTTTTAGACCATATGTTTTCACATAGTTCAGCTGTTACTGCATTTTACATGCTGTTAGTGGCTAGCAATTTTTTGTTTGTTGCATGTTTGTAGCTTAGCCTATCTAATCTGACCTGTCTCCTAGCCACTTGCTCACCATTATTTGTTCGCAGCTAGCCTGTATCCTGAACAGTGGCTGGGTGGTCTCGACCAGATACCTTCTCAACTTGTGTCCTATTATAAAATTGTGCCTTTCTAATCCACTACACCACTTGTATTATCTGTTGTTACGCTGGAGGATTGCTGTCGGGGTACCTCGAGTGCATTTGTACCATTCATATGCACAGCAAAAACACAATGAATAAATAAATAAAAATTTAAATTTTTTTTTATAGATATCAAATATATATTAAAATACACCAAAATATAACCTCTAAATTTTAAATTCAATATCAAAAGAGATCTATAGAGGAAATAAAAGAAGAAATGGAAGTTAGAATACATAAATTATATAAAATAATAAATTTTAAAATCGTCATTTAAACAGTGAGGTAGCACAGTATCCATATTAAAAATACATCTCATCTGATATTGAATTGTGTTTGTGGCATGTTCTAATTTGATTATTTGCATAGTCTTGTGTGTCCCTTACATACTTTTTATTTTCAAATTTTTGGTGTCAATTTCGATCTTTTACTTTGAATAAGTACGGAGTTTTGCTTGTTTTCTTGCGTCAGAAAATGGGAATAGTTTATCCCTTAGTTGGTTAACATCTTTATCAGGTAATTGACAATTTTTTTATTTTCTTGATTATTAGTGTGTCCATTTACCCGAATATACACGTTTCCAATTTGTTATTCAAAATTGCCATAAATTCCTCGTCATCCTGATCGGAGATATTTTAACGATTCTCAGGTCTCGTGGTGTAATAGGTCATATTGACTTTCCCTATCAGTACCTTTTATACAGGGCTAGCCTTTAGTTAGTGTAATTATTTCTATATTCAAAGGTAGACATGGTAATGAGGCATGAGAACAAGCAGCTATATCTTAAGGGTATACAAAAGAAAAACAGGAAATATACACAGGGCTTATAAATGCTAAAAGTTCAAAAGTAGATCACCTTAGGCAGCAAACACTGAGTACGGGAACCCTCTATGCCCCACAAAACAGAAACAACATACTGAAGCAGGTAACGCCAAATAAAAAAGGTAGACAAAGAAATAATAAAATATAGTCCAAAATTATCTTCCAGTCGCCTTGATTCCTGTATGGCTTGATCCTCCCAGTGATTGGAAGGGTCGGCTCCCAGTGACGACAGTCTACCACCAGTTTTATTAGACTCACAACTCAGTTAAGGAGAGCAGCAGAGTGAGTACTGTAAGTGTCTGTGTTGAGCCAGGGTGGAAAGTGCTTGCAATTGTAGGTAACCGGAAGGCTGCAACATCTCAATCAACTAAGGACATTTTCTGCATCACACTCCACACACCCCTAATCTGAGCAAAAAAAAAATATCAGAAGTTTTGAAACTTGAGGTAAAAGGAGCATTGTCAAAAGAAAATCTTGTTAAATTGTGTGACTTTCTGAACACTGTAGAGCATGCAAAGCTTTGATATACCAAGTTACCTGCTATAAATTGTGGGTTATCCATTATGGGACCATTTGAATAAGCACAATAGACTTATACATAACCTTTTTGTTTTTGGTATGATGATAAGATACTTTGTTTTCCTTCTGGTTCTTATACTATTTTTAGACCATATCTTTTCACATATTTCAGCTGTTACTGCATTTTACATGCTGTTAGTACTATTTTGGCATCTTCAGCGATCGATAACTATGACCCGGGATTGCGCGATGACATCAGACGTAGCGCATGTGTGCACGCTTACGTCATGTGATGGACATCCAATTCGAGTGGTATTTTGGCTGCTCCTGGAATCTGTAGTTGGGGCCAAGTGTAGACTTGGTAGTGTTGTATGTGGGCAATTAGGGGAGTCAGGGGGGAGAAGAGGGCAGGGTTTGGGCCGCTCCTGGGACTTATAAATACGGCCTGTGAGGAAGCGATGACATAATACACTGGAAATTCGGAATAGAGCAGCTTCACCTTTGTATGCAGCTGAAGTGTATTATGATGCCCCATTAAGGAACATTTATGTTTTTAGGTGGGAAGGTACACAGATTCAGTTTAGGTATAAATAAGATTTGTGAACATAGGTCTTTTAGATCCCCTTCAGAAAGGCACTAGCCGAAACATTGGGGAATTTTGGTCTCCAGCCCTGGGTCAATATACTTGAAACACTATTAAATGTTTTTGCACTTTATTTCTACTTACTTCTGGTGTATGTATTTGTAATGTTATACACGTATGCAGTTTATTCTTATATGGATGTTTGACTTGTCATTTGAATAAAATCTACTTTTATGCATAATCTGGTGTGCTATTTTTTTTTTTTTACTATGTTTTACCAAGTGTATGCATTTACTGCTCATTGGCATGATATACCAAGTTTATGCATTTACCTTTCATTGGTATGATATATCGCGTTTACGTATTTACTGCTCACTGAACCATGTGTAACACATACACGTATACAGTTGCACACGGATACACACACTGACACATGCCGGTACACACTAACACATACAGATAGACACACTAAGCCACATACAAATGTAGAGACACAGATACAAACACTGCCACACATGCAGAAACACTGACACACATACAGTTGCACAGTCACAATGATGTTCACACATGCAGATACACAGATACAAATAATGCCTCACATGCAGATACACAGAAACACAGATGCACATACTGACACACATACAGATGCAGACACACATACAGGTCAAAATGTTAACCACCCTACAGTTTCTTAAAATACTAGTCCACAGCTAATTAAATCGAGGTACATCGACCATTGGGGGTACAGAGAGGCTACTGGACACCAAAGAGGGCTTTCAAGTACCCTACAGGAAAACCAGCCTGAGACATTTGCGGCCTAGCAGGACCAGATCGTGAGTGGCGGCCAACTTCCCAGCCGGGGACCTAGCAGACTCTGCGGCGGTCGAAGCCCCATTCCCCCCCCTCTGGAACAGTGGGGGTCATTCCGGTCTCAGTTAAGCACACATTGTCAGCAGCACACTACACTGGCACCAATCTCGAGGCACATTGATGCAACCCATACCGCCCAAGATGGTGAAGGCCTCTCCCCTGGACAAACTAGAGTAGCAACCAATATGCAGCTATGTTGAACAGGGCTTACAACGCTTGGAAGCAATCTTCAATACCTTTTGGGCAACACTACAGGCCCTCATGCAGCACCACAGATGCCTACTACAGCTGAAAGGAGCACTGTGGCGCCGAGGAAGGGGATGTCTCCCCCAGACAAACCAGCTACTACTCACAAACCAGAGATGAAACGCCATCCTAAGCCGAGAGCCACCCCAGGTACAGCCCTCAAGAGACGACCATGGAGGCCGAAGACCCTCCGCTAACACCAGCAGTCACCGTCCAGAAATTCCGCCTACCCCAGTGGGGGCAGAGACTTGACACCTCACCGCACCAGAGTCTGCGGACATGAGACGCTGACCCTTGCCCATGCCTGGGGGAAACCCCTATTTTGATGCTCTGGGATGACCACCCACAAACACCATCTGAACTGCACCCGGCTCCACACACTCCAGGGAATCAGCTGAGCCAAGAGCTGGGCGTATCACCAGCGCTATGCCCCACTGTTGTGAAGATGGAGGTTGATGAACTAGCTGTTATTGCTAAGTTTCACCACACAGTAGCATGTGAGATAGCCTAGGCCTAGTGGCAACTTCACTTTAAAACCATAGCTTGTTTAGTACTATTACGGAGTCGCTACCTACAAGTATAACCAGACATATGACAGTGTATGCTTAGCTGTTATCATATGTTTAGACAGGTCAGTACAGCCGGTTAAGAATCTCACTGCTATGTCTTTAATGTGTCCCAACTTTCTTCTGTTTAGTTTCAACATGCAGGATGAGTCTGAGTTGTTTTTTGTTTTCCTTCTTTTACTATATTAATCACTAAAGTACGTACAGTTAGGTACTAAGCTAAGTGTGCTCGGTTCAATTTTAAAAAGCAATGTTCTAGCATAACCTTTATCCCTACTTTAACTAAAACTGTGATACTAATCTGTGAGCCAAGTTACTGTTTCCCTTATATTATTATGAAGCTTACGATATAATTCACAGATTTTACTATTACCATGACGTAAAGTCATGATTTTATTAATGACACGGAGGCTCCTATTATGCTGCACTCTTTCTTTATTTCCCTCAGCAGCAAAGAAAAAAACTTTATAAACATAACCAATAGTAACATTAACAGTCTCAGGTGTAATCTTCCTAGTAACAGGAACAGCCAATCAGGATCCACTTCTCCAGCATAATAGGCTCTGTCAACCAATCCTGTTCCTCTTTATTTGCAATCCCGAAGAAGTAAAATTATCCAATAAAACGTTGAACTGCATAGAACATGATTTTCCCGGAATAGATGGGCAGATTATGCTGTAAGAGAGGAAAAATATGGTAATATCTTTGCATAAAACTTAGTGTATGCATAGTCATAGGTATTCAAGATAGTGTTTGGTCAGTGTTGTGTCCAAGTGAGTATTGTCGTGTAACCTATACATGTGGGTGTCCAGATAGGTAAGCAGTGATCGTAACTAAGACTTACCTTGATCTAAGTACAACTGTAATGTAACCATCTGGCGATTACAACTGTAACAACTAGACATGGTAAAATGACTTACCGTAGGTCAACTTACCCAACTTCCGTCTATCCTTCCCCCGTCGCCGGGTGGGAGGGAGGGATAATACTCGCCTCCGTGTCATTAATAAAATCATGACTTTACGTCATGGTAATAGTAAAATCTGTGAATTTTATTAAGACACGGAGGCTCCTATTATGCTGGTTTAAAGCTGAGAAACTACCGTTCCTGCAAAGTGGTGTATTGGTTTGAAGTAAAAGTCACGGAAGGTAGATTCTGAAGACCAGTCGGCTGCTTTCAGAATGTCTTCCAGGCGACAACCCATCGAAGAGGCTTTTGAAGCCATTGCTCCTCGTATGGAATGTGGCGAAAATATGGAAGTGTCTATGCCTGCCGTAGCCATGATCCATTTGACCCAGCGAGCCAGGGTCGTGGTAGACACAGGTAGGTGTGGTCTCTGGAAGGAGATGAAGAGTTCATGCCTAGACGGGTCCCGCAACGCCTTGGTGCGAAGTTCATAGGTTCGCAGACATTGAACCGGACACAAGCGAGGTTTGTCAGGAAAGGCTGGATATGTCACCTTCTTCGTAGAGGTTTTTGTTCTCCGAGATATATCGAAAGCGACCCCTTCCGGAGTATAAGACCGTGCGGTGACGTCTAAGGCTCTAACGTCTGATACCCGTTTGCAGGATATGAGACATAGTAGTATAACCAGTTTCGCCGACAGGTGTTTCAGAGATAGTGTTGCGTTATCTGGCCAAGATTCGAGGAGGTTGAGGATGATGGAGACGTCCCACAGTACGGAATAGCGTGGTAGCGGAGGTCTTGTGAATCTGATGCCGCGCAAGAGTCGGCATATCAGTGGATGGCGTCCTATCGGTGCGCCCTCGATGCCTTGGTGTGAGTTTGAAATGGCCGATCTGTAGAGGTTCACCGTGCGATATGCTTTGCCGCTTTCAAACAAGGAGGTTAAGAATTGCAGGATCGAAGTCAGAGGAGCTGATATGGGATCCAAATTCCGTTCCATGCACCAATCGTGCCATTTGCGCCAAGCAGATTTATAAGCTTGTCTCGTGCCGGGTGCCCATGCGCTCTCGAGAAGTTGGAGAGTCGATTCCGAAACTCCTTCGATTGAGTAGGGTTCCCAGAAATCAGCCACACCATGAGGTGTAATAAGTCTTGCTGAACCAGGGGGTGGGGGGACCCGTCCGGGTCTCAAAGTAGGTACTCGAAGTGTGGGAGAGTACGGGGTACGTCTATCGCCATCTCCAACAGGGAAGGAAACCATGGTTGAGACGGCCATAATGGCGCCACGAGCACTGCCGTGCCCGTCTGTCGCCGTAGTTGTAGTAGGCAGCGGGGAATCAACGCAAAGGGAGGAAACGCGTAGTTCCTTTCGGAGGACCAGTCCTGAGTAAAGGCATCTGTTGCCAGCGCTGCCGGGTCCGGTCTCCAGCTGAAAAATCTGGGGAGTTGGGTGTTCAAACGGGAAGCGAACAAGTCCTTGTCCAGAGGACCCCATAGGGACTGGATGTCTTGGAAGACCCTGGGTTCCAGGTGCCAGTCGCTGGAATCCCTGAGGTGCCTTGAGTACCAATCCGCCGTGGTATTGTTGAGGCCCGGAATGTACTCTGCTGTGACCGAAATGCCGTGTGCCAGGCAAAATTGCCAAAAGTCTCGTGCCAAATTCGCCAGGACCTTCGATTTCGTGCCGCCCAAGTGATTTATATAACGGACTGCCGATACATTGTCCATCCTCAAAAGGATGGCACATCGGGCTTGAGTTGGAGAAAAACTGCGGATTGCAAAAGAACCGGCCAGGAGTTCTAGGCAATTGATGTGAAGCGTCGACTCCACTTCGGCCCACCTGCCACCGGTAGAAACAGTGCCACAGCGTGCGCCCCAGCCGTGCAAGCTCGCATCGGATTCTATGATCATATCCGGTTCGGTACCGAAAATGGCTCGGCCATTCCAGGCGTCCATATGGGATAGCCACCATCTGAGTTCTGTCTTTGCTTCTGTATCCAGAGCGATCATGTCCGTGTATGCGGTCCCGTCTCTCAAATGGGAGGCTTGTAGGCGCTGTAGCGCTCTATAGTGTAAAGGGCCCGGGAAAATGGCCTGTATGGAAGCCGCCAAGAGGCCGACCACTCTCGCCAATTGTTTTAGGGAGATCAGGGGGGTCGTCAGAGTACGCCTGATTTCCTTCTTCATGGTGGACAGTTTCGCTGCCGGCAGTTGTAGGGTCTGTAGAGTGGAGTCCACGATGAGGCCCAAAAACTCTATGTGTCGTGTAGGGGTTAGGATGGATTTTTTCCAATTGATAAGGAAACCCAAATTTTGCAAAAGAGTCTGAGTCCATGACAGATGGGTGTCGAGAATGTGGTTGGAACGACCCATGATAAGGATGTCGTCCAGGTAGATTATGAGACGAACCCCTCGACTTCGAAGCAGAGCCACCACGGGCTTCATAAGTTTGGTGAAACACCATGGGGCTGAGGACAGACCGAAAGGGAGACATGTGAATCTCCATTTCCTTCCTTGCCATATGAATTGGAGGAAGTCCTGGTGCTGACGTGCGATTGGTATCGTAAGATAGGCGTCCTGCAGGTCTAACTTGACCATCCAGTCCAACGGTTGGAGGAGATCTCGGAGGCAGTGTATGCCCTCCATTTTGAAGTGGTTGTAGGCCACAAAAGTGTTGAGCTGTTTCAAGTTGATAACTGGGCGGACGCCGCCGCCTTTTTTGGCAACTAAGAATAGGTTGCTTACGTACCCTGGGGTAGCCATGGGGATCTCTAAGATGGCCCGTTTGTGTGCCAATTCTGCGACCTCCTTGGTTACAAGGGAGGCGTCTTGGTGAGAAAATAGCATGCCCCGTGGCGGGGCGAGTTGTATCGGGAGGGATATGAACTCTAAGGTGTACCCTCTGACCGTGTTCAGTACCCAAGCATCTGACGAGATGTGTGACCATACATGGGAAAAATGTCGGAGTCTGCCCCCCACTGCCCATAGGGAAGAAGGAAACAGGAGAGTACTTACCATAAGGTCGTCTGCCTGGGCGGGAGCCACGTGGTCCCCGAGCCACCCATGGTCGCCCACGTTGTGGGAAGAAAACCGGGGCGTTGCGGTGCTCCGTGAAGGAGGCATGTCCAGTGTAGGAGCCACGGCTCTGTCGGAACGAGCCCCTATTGACACGGCCGGACAGACGGCTCCTGGCTCTTCCGGCCCCACCAAAAACCTTTGGCTGGAAAATCTTGCGCATGCTTGACTGCGCTTTGTCTAGGGCAGTGAAAGTGTGAACAAAGGAGCCAAGCTCCTTGACAAAGTTGTCTCCGAACAGGAGGCCACGGGCCTGGGCGCCCGGTTCGGTTATAGCCATGTTCACCAGTTTTGGTTCTATCTTTAATAAAATCGCTTTGCGACGCTCTGTGGCCACCGCACAGTTGGCATTGCCGATCAGGCAAATCACTCTTTGTATCCAACCACTTATGGCGGAACGATCTAATTCTTGGTCACTTTCGACCATATCAAAAATTTTTGTTGCCGGGCCCAATATGTCTAAAATCTTGTCCTGGCAGTTGCGCAGGGAGAAATCAAGGCCCTTATTAGGCTTCCAGCCAGTCTTGCCCAAGAATTGAATGATTTTTGGGTCAACTGCAGGTGTTCTGCAGGCCTCGTCAGGGACAGTGGGGCGTGGGCATTCTGCCCGCAATTTGCTTCGTGTCACCTTATTTAAAGGTTTGCGAGTCCGCGATGCCACGTATTTGGCCACATGGGCCGAAGGTGACCAGTCCGCTGACCTTGGATGACGTAGGTCATCGGGGTCGAACAGAGGTTCCCCGTAGGGGTCAACTAATCTGGTGGCATCGTCTGGCACTTTAAGCTCCATGTCATACGACTCAGATGGAGGTGCAATCTGTGTACTCGGGTCATGGTCGTCGACCATACCCTCTGATTGGGGATCTGATGGATCCTCCGAATCCATATCAGTGACCTCTTCAATCTCGCTGAGATCAGACTCAGATTCTAGTTGGGCTTTTGCCCGCTTCCATAACCTAGCCGATTTTGCCCGGCTAGTGGCTCTTTTGCGCGGTGGTATATTAGGCGCGCCATCTGTGACAGGTGTGTAGCTGTCCATCTGTGAGATTGAAGAGTGTTTAGTTTTTGCAGTGGCCTTGCGGCCAACGTGAGGTTGGGAAGGGGTTACTGCAGGCAAAGCCTGGGAAGCGACCGGTTGGGTCGACTTTTGTGCCCCAAGTATAGCGTGAGTAATAGTCTGTGACAGAGATTCAGACATCAGTCCCATTGCTGATGTGAGGGCCTTAGTCACCACATGGGACATGGTGTTGTCAAACATAAGCTGCATATCAGCAGTAGATTCAAAATCAGCGGGGTTAGTTGCACCAATTTCAGGTACCCCTGGGGTAGTTTTAACAGACCCCAAATTATTGATAAGAGACCCAGAGGGTACATCTTTATCCCCAGGCATGTTATGTATACCACTGGCCCTTTAAATAAATGAACTGAGTTGACCTAGATGGGTTGAGTAACCCAAAGGGGGAATATACCTTTAAAAGAAAATAAGTACTCACAAAACAATAAGCACAATTAAATGAGACAGGTGAGGAGGGGGGCAAGGAGCCGTCCGACCGCCACTGTAGCTGCAACCCAACTCCGAGGACCGGGAGTTGGGGGTGGAGCTACGTGCCGCGCGCGGGAAAAACAGAAAATGGCCGCCGGAGCAGTGCAGAGGAGGCAGAGAGTCCGGTAAGCCCTGCTCGCGGCAAAAAGTGTAGCGCTCAGCGCGCACAAGTACGCCGCGAGCAGGGAGCTGATAACTGAGCTCAGTGAGCTCTGTAGTCGGCGGTCGGGCACGGCAGGAGGGCGCGAAGCGCCGGGTGCGGCTCCAGCCGACGTCCCCGAGCCCCTGCAAATTAGGCTCTGAGGGACGATCGGCTGGAGCGGGGGAAAAACTTAAAGGGGAAATTCAGCAGAATAAAATAATAAAGGGACAACTATGAAGGATGTCCCTAGAAACGTTTTCTACAGTAGCACATCAATTATATCAAGTAAAAGGTAGTAAAGTAACACATATAAAAAATTAACACTAGAAAATTAATACTATAAAATTAATGCTATAAAATCAATACTATGAAATGAATGCTAGGAAATATTAATATAATATGAAAGTAATTCAATATAAAGTAATTCAATATAAAACTAATCCCACAGTTAAGGAGCCTGAGGGATCAGATATACTTAACTGAGGGAGCAGCAAAGAAAGAGGAACAGGATTGGTTGACAGAGCCTATTATGCTGGAGAAGTGGATCCTGATTGGCTGTTCCTGTTACTAGGAAGATTACACCTGAGACTGTTAATGTTACTATTGGTTATGTTTATAAAGTTTTTTTCTTTGCTGCTGAGGGAAATAAAGAAAGAGTGCAGCATAATAGGAGCCTCCGTGTCTTAATAAAATCCTATTTATTTCTCTATATAAACAAAAAAAGTGCAATGTCTTTGATGCCATGTGAATACATGTGAATGCAAATCTGTTTGCACCAGCTGTTGTGGCAGTACAAATTACATGTTTCATATCTGAACGAACAAAATAAAGAATTTAAAAAAATATATATTACAATGCTTACGTCTGTGCATCGACTAGAGAACTGAACAGAAAATAAATCCTGATCGGCAGCCCATTCTTCATGTACAAGATATTATGAACAGTCTTGTATGAAATTCTTGGTTCTCTTTACTCCATCAGGGTTTCATGGCTAAAGAAAGTAAATCTTTGACAGTTTTTGTAATGCTTGGGGGTTATACAAATGGATTTGGGTTCCCTTTTGGTTAATTAATGCACTTGCAGCCTTTCAACATTGCACGGAAGAGTGCCTATTTGCATCCCATAACTCTATGATACATTAGTGTTCAGTAAGACCTTTGAAGACCACGTCAATGATGTATGAATGGTGCTGCAACATAGAACGTATGGAATCAAACTAAAACCCAGTAATTGTGAGGTGTTTAAACATGAAGTTCGTTATCTGGGAAGGATTATTTTTGCTAAAGGAACTTGAGAACTTGATGGATACTGCTAATATAGTCTGTTTAAGTTACTACCGACAATACATTATAGATAGACAAAGAAGGTAGGAAGGAGATGACATTCTTCCGAAAAGAATAATCATCTCCCTTTAACTTTGAATTGCGTGGTCACTGAGAAATGTCATGATTATCTGTAGTAAGCACCCACATTCACGGTGTATTGCAACAACAACCCCCTCACCTATGTTTTAACGAGTAGAAAGCTCAATGCGACTGGATGTAGATTGGTAGCGGAATTCGCAGAGTTTCTTTTCACCATCAGATATTACCCTTAAATAAAATGTAGATGTAGACAGTCTATCCAGGATGTCTATAGGCTTTGAAACAATAATGAAGCAGTATACAGAAGAACTGGTGTCTGGTTGCGTTGAAGCGACCATCCAGGAATCGAATGTGTCATAGTCAGCAATGAATTATCTCGATTACTCAATGGAGTGTATAAATCCATGCAAGTCAATTACCAGGGAAGATATATGAGAAGCACATAGAGATAATCCTCATATTGGACAATTAGTACAAAGTAAGCCGACAGAAAAAACATATTGGGCACCAGTTGAAAACATTCAGTGCACAAATGCTTGCAGCGCAACAGGGACAAGAAACCAGAGCACCACTCACAAACATTGTCACCACTTACCCATTTGAACTTACTTCCATTGACTTCTTGCATCTGGATAAATGTAAAGGAGGGCACAAATATATTTTGGGCATGGTCACTTCACTAGATTTGCACGGGCTTATGCCACCATCAAAATCTGCCCAAACAGTTGCTAATTAGTATTTTCAATGCCTTTGCACTGAGATTTGGAATCCCCCAAAGAACATCACGAACAAGGAGCAGAGTTTAAAATTGGAATTGCTGGATCAAGAAACACACAAGTACCATTCCCAAGGAAATTGACAAGTTAAACGTTTCAGCTGCACTTTACTCCATATGTCAAAGACCTTGATTGAGCAACAGTGATGTCCCGAACGGTTCGCCAGCGAACGAATGGCGAACATATGCGCTGTTCGGTCCGCCCCATATTCGTCATCATTGAGTAAACTTTGACCCTGTACCTCACAGTCAGCAGACACATTACAGCCAATCAGCAGCAGACCCTCCCTCCCAGACCCTCCCACCTCCTGGACAGCATCCATTTTACATTCATTGTGAAGCTGCATTCTTAGTGAGAGGAGGGACAGTGTAGCTGCTGCTGATTTGATAAGGAAATTGATAGCTAGGCTAGTGTATTCAGTGTCCACTACAGTCCTGAAGGACTCATCTGATCTCTGCTGTAAGGACAGCACCCAAAAAAGCCCTTTTTAGGGCTAGAACATCAGTCTGCTTTTTTTTTTCTGTGTAATGTAATTGAAGTTGCCTGCCTGCCAGTCAGTGTGTCAGGCTCACAGCATATCCTGTGCCCACTTGCCCAGTGCCACCACTCACTCACTGGTGTCACAATAGCTTGCATTTAAAAAAAACAAAACTTTTTTGACTGTAATATAATAGCAGTCAGTTTCCTTCACGAGTGTGCGTTTCTGGGCCTGCCCAGTGCCACCACTCACTCACTGGTGTCCCAATAGCTTGCATTTAAAAAAAAAAAAACCTTTTGGACTGTAATATAATAGCAGTCAGTTTCCTTCACGAGTGTGCGTTTCAGGGCCTGCCCAGTGCCACCACTCACTCACTGGTGTCCCAGCGTTTCAGGGCCTGCCAGGGCACAGTGTCACACCAGTGCAACTCATATCTGGTGTAACAGTAGTGTACATTTAAAAAAAAAATACAATTTTGACTGTAATAGATTGAATAGCAGTTAGTTGTCTGCCAGCGTGTGTGTCAGGCTCACAGCGTATACTGTGCCCACTTGCCCAGTGCCACCACTCATATCCGGTGTCACAATAGCTTGCATTTAACAAAAAAAAACTTTTTGGACTGTAATATAATAGCAGTCACACCAGTGCAACTCATATCTGGTGTAACAGTAGTGTACATTTAAAAAAAAAATATATATATTTTTTTTGACTGTAATAGATTGAATAGCAGTTAGTTGTCTGCAAGCGTGTGTGTCAGGCCTACAGCGTCTACTCTGCCAACATCTGCCACTGCACAGTGCCACTCATATCTGTTGTCACAGTAGCTTGCACGCATAGTACCACTAATCGAAAAAAAAATGACAGGCAGAGGCAGGCCACCCCGCAGGGGCTGTCGTGGTCGTGGTGCTGTGATTCCCTTTGGCCCTAGAATAATACCCAGTGTTCAGAGGCCACGTATCCTGAACTCGCAAAGTTCTGAGGACATAGTTGACTGGCTAACACAGGACACCCAATCTTCTACAGCTTCCACTCGGAACCTTGATGCACCATCCTCCTCCAGCTTAGCTCCGGGCACCTCTCAAGTTACCACTCGCCCTCCTGCCGCCACCACCAACACTAGCACCACAGCAGCTTCACTTGGTATGTCAGAGGAGTTATTTACACATCAGTTGGAAGAAATGAGTGATACGCAACCATTATTACCAGAGGATGTAGATAACAGGGATATGTCTCAGTCAGGCAGCATTACACACATGGACGTACGGTGTGATGATGATGATGATGTTGTACCCGCTGCTGCTTCCTTTGCTGAGTTGTCAGATACAAGTGAAGCGGTTGATGATGATGATGCGTCCGTGGATGTCACGTGGGTGCCCGCTAGAAGATAAGAAGAACAGGGGGAAAGTTCAGATGGGGAGACAGAGAGGAGGAGGAGGAGACGAGTTGGAAGCAGGGGGAGGTTGTCGCAAGGAGCTAGTGGCACAGTCAGACAGCATGCATCGGCACCCGGGGTCAGCCAGACAGCACGCCAATCAATGCATGCTGTTGCCACCACCAGAATGCCGTCATTGCAGAGCACAGCAGTGTGGCATTGTTTGTGTGTGTCTGCCTCTGACAACAGCGATGCCATTTGCAACCTGTGCCAAAAGAAACTGAGTCGTGGGAAGTCCAACACCCACCTAGGTACAACTGCTTTGCGAAGGCACATGATCGCACATCACAAACGCCTATGGGATCAACACATGAGTACAAGCAGCACACAAACTCCAAGTCGCCATCCTCCTCCTGGTCCAGCATCTTCAGCCACATTAACTACTGCTGTCCTCCTTGCCCCCTCTCAACCATCTGCCCCTCCGTCTCTCGCCTTGAGCAGTTCCTGCTCATCTGCCCACAGTCAGGTGTCTGTCAAGGACATGTTTGAGCGTAAGAAGCCAATGTCACAAAGTCACCCCCTTGCCCGCGTCTGACAGCTGGCTTGACTGAACTCTTAGCCCGCCAGCTTTTACCATACAAGCTGGTGGAGTCTGAGGCGCTCAAAAAATTTGTAGCTATTGGGACACCGCAGTGGAAGGTACCCGGCCGAAATTTCTTTGCACAAAAGGCAATCCCCAACCTGTACTCGATTGTGCAAAAGGAAGTAATGGCATGTCTGGCACACAGTGTTGGGGCAAGGGTCCATCTGACCACTGATACCTGGTCTGCAAAGTATGGTCAGGGCAGGTATATCACCTACACTGCGCATTGGGTAAACCTGCTGATGGCTGCCAAGCATGGAATGCATGGCTCTGCAGAGGAGTTGGTGACACCGCTATGACTTGCAGGCAGGCCTACTGCCACCTCTTCTACTCCTCCTACTCCATCCTCTTCCATAACCTCCTCGGCTGAGTCCTCTTCTGCTGCTGCGTCTTGCTCCACATCAACGGCACCCCCCCAGCTCCCCAGGTACTATTCCACATCCCGGATACGGCAGTGTCATGCCGTCTTGGGGTTGACTTGCCTGAAAGCAGAGAGTCACACCAGACCAGCACTCCTGTCCGCCCTGAACGCACAGGTGGATCAGTGGCTGACTCCGCACCAACTGGAGATAGGCAAAGTGTTTTGTGACAACGGAAGAAATTTGTTGGCGGCATTGCATTTGGGCAAGTTGACACATGTGCCGTGCATGGCACATGTGTGTAATCTGATCGTACAATGCTTTGTGCATAAGTACACAGGCTTACAGGACATCCTGAAGCAGGCCAGGAAGGTGTGTGGCCATTTCAGGTGTTCCTACATGGCCATGGCGCACTTTTCAGAAATCTAGTGGCGAAAAAACATGCCAGTGAGGCGCTTGATTTGCGACAGCCCGACACGTTGGAATTCAACACTCCTAATGTTCGACCGCCTGCTCCAACAAGAAAAAGCCGTTAACGAGTATTTGTGTGACCCGGGTGCTAGGACAGCCTCTGCGGAGCTGGGAATTGTTTGTTGCCACGTTACTGGACGCTCATGCACAATGCCTGTAGGCTTATGCGTCCTTTTGAGGAGGTGACAAACCTAGTCAGTCGCACCAAAGGCACCATCGGCGACATCATACCATTTGTTTTCTTCCTGGAGCGTGCCCTGCGAAGAGTGCTGGATCAGGCCGTAGATGAGCGTGAAGAGGAAGAGTTGTTGTCACCATCACCACCAGAAACAGCCTTATCAGCATCGCTTGCTGGACCTGCGGCAACGCTGGAAGAGGATTGTGAGGAAGAGGAGTCAGAGGAGGAATGTGGCTTTGAGAAGGAGGAGGAAGACCAACCACAACAGGCATCCCAGGGTGCTCGTTGTCACCTATCTGGTACCTGTGGTGTTGTACGTGGCTGGGGGGAAGAACATACCTTCAGTGAGATCACTGAGGATGAGGAAAAGGACATGAGTAGCTCGGCATCCAACCTTGTGCAAATGGGTCTTTCATGCTGTCGTGCCTGTTGAGGGACCCTCGTATAAAAAGGCTGAAGGAGAACGACCTGTACTGGGTGTCCACGCTACTAGACCCCCGGTGTAAGCAGAAAGTGCCTGAAATGTTACCGAATTACGGCAAGTCGGAAAGGATGCAGCAGTTCCAAAATCAATTAAAAAGTATGCTTTACACAGCGTATAAGGGTGATGTCACAGCACAACAGGAATCTAACAGGGGAAGAGGTGAAAGTAATCCTCCAACTCCCACGACCATGCCGGCAAGGACAGGACGCTTTACAGACATGTTGTTGATGGAGGACATGCAGAGCTTTTTAAGTCCTACGCATTGCCACAGCCCTTCGGGGTCCACCCTCAGAGAACGACTCGACCGAGAGGTAGCAGACTACCTCACCTTAACTGCAGATATCGAGACTCTGAGGAGCGATGAACCCATTGACTACTGGGTGTGCAGGCTTGACCTGTGGCCTGAGCTATCCCAATTTGCGATAGAACTTCTGGCCTGCCCCGCTTCAAGTGTCCTGTCAGAAAGGACCTTCAGTGCAGCAGGAGGTATTGTCACTGAGAAGAGAAGTCGCCTAGGTCAAAAAAGTCTAGATTACCTCACCTTTATTAAAATGAATGAGGGATGGATCCCGAAGGGACTGACAGTGGGCAATACATTTGACTAAAAAAGGCCTGATGAGGGGGACATAACAGGGTGTCGCGGCTGCAGGCCCGCCGCGTGATATTTAAATCTCTAGCTCACCCCAGTACCTTGCCCTGTCGTGGTTTCCTGTTCCTGGTTTCCTGAGAGTGCTTTATCATTG